CTATCCTCAACCAAGATAGGGTCCCAGGTGCATGGTTTCATCTTGGAGAAAAGAGAAAGGACGAGGCCTCAACCAATATGAGGTCCGAGGTGCGTGACCCCAGCAAAAAGACGACGGAGGCAAGGACAAGGCCGGGGTTCGAAGTGCGTGGCCCCAGGAAGCTCAAGCTGAAGAAGACAGAGGCAAGAACGAGGCCGGGAGGGCTTATCCTCAACCAATATAAGTTTCCGAGGCGTGGAAGCTCAAGATGAAGAAGGGCAAGGACAAGGCCGGGAGGGTTTATCATCAACCAATATGGGTTTCCAAGACGTGGGGTCTCAAGCTGCAGAAGCGCAATGACAAGGCCGGGAGGGTTTATCCTCAACTAGTATGGGTTTCCGAGGTGTGGAAGCTCACAAGTCGAAGAAGACAGAGGCAAGGACAAGGCCGGGAGGGTTTATACTCAACCAGTATGGGTTTCCGAGGTGCGGAAGCTCACAAGTCGAAGAAGACAGAGGCAACGGCAAGGCCGGGAGAGCTTATCCTCAACCGATGTGGGTTTCCGAGGTGCGGAAGCTCACAAGTCGAAGAAGACAGAGGCAACGGCAAGGCCGGGAGAGCTTATCCTCAACCGATGTGGGTTTCCGGGGTGTGGAAGCTCCAGCCGAAGAAGACAGAGGCAGGGACAAGGCGGGAAGGCTTATCCTCAACCGGTATGGGGTTCCGAGGTGTGGGAGCTCAAGCCGAAGAAGACAGAGGCAAGGACAATCCAGGGTATGGAAGCTTGAGCCTCAACCAATGTGGGTTGCCGAGGTGTGTGGTCTCAGCGACAAGGCTGAGAGGGCTTATCCGGAGAGCTTTTCCTCAAACAAAACAGGAACCTGAAGGTATGCAGTTCAGGAGCTAGCCGACCTTCCCCCTCCCCCTCCCTCCCCCTCCCATGCCCTATTGACGGCCTCCCTTCCAGAGGTGGCAGGGGCACGAATTCTCAGGGAAGGTAGTGGCAGAAATCAGTGGGGTGCGGGGTCTCCCCCCCGCCCCCCCCTCCCCCGCCCTCCCCCCCCCCCTCCTGGGCCGGGGTAGTGGGCAGACACCAAAAGACAATCCTCAACTAAAATGGCGTTGGTTCCCGCCCCTCCCCGCCCCCCTCCCCCACCCTCCCCCCCTCCCTCCCCCTCCCCACCCGGTGCCTCCTCCGGAGGGTGGCACGAGTGGGGCAGACACCAAAAAACAATCCTCAACTAAAATGGGGTGTCCCCCCCCTCCCTCCCCCCCCCCTCCGGAGGGTCCCCCCCTCCCTCCCCCCCTTCCCTCCCCCGCTCCCTTCCCTCCCCCTCGCTCTGCCCCTCCCACCCCCCTCCCAAACCCGCTCACTTAGACCGCAACCAGCGTGGAGTGCCAGGTGCGTATCCTCAAGAAGAAAAAGGTATCCTCAACCAATATGGGGTCCCAGGTGCGTGCTCTCGCGGACCAGGCCGGCGCAATATGGGGTTCCAGGCGCGCGGTCTCAGCCCGAAGAAGGCGGAGGCGGGGACGAGGCCGGAGCTGGGGTCCCAGGTGCGTGCTCGGCAGGGACGAGGCCGGAGCGCTTATCCTCAACCAATATGGGGTCCCAGGTGCGAAAGCGGAGGCGGGGACGAGGCCGGAGCGCTTATCCTCGACCAACGTGGAGTCCCAGGTACGCGATCTCGGCCCGAAGAAGGTGAAGGTGGGGACGAGGGCGGAGCACTTATCCTCAACCGATATGGGCTCCTAGGTGCGTGCCCTACCGCAGCGTGCATCAGTGCCAGGTGCTTGAAGCCAGAAGAAGGCGAGCTTCAAGAGGAGGCGACAACAAGCTCGAAGGACTTACTCTCAGAATACGTTCTCGGCGCGTGGTCTCAACCTGAAGAAGACAGAGGCGGCGACAAGGCCGGATCGCCTATCCTCAACTGTCATGGGTTCCCAGGTTCGTGGTCTGGAGAGAACAGAAGCCGAGACCAGGCCGGAGTGCCTATCCTCAATCAATATGGGGTCCCAGGTGCGCGGTCTCAACTTGAAGAGGATGGAGGCGGGAACCAGGCCGGAGCACTTCTCCTCAACCAATATCGGGTCCGAGGTGCGTGGTCTCAACTCGAACAGGACGGAGGCGAGGAGAGGCCGGAGTGCCTATCCTCAACCAAGATAGGGTCCCAGGTGCATGGTTTCATCTTGGAGAAAAGAGAAAGGACGAGGCCTCAACCAATATGAGGTCCGAGGTGCGTGACCCCAGCAAAAAGACGACGGAGGCAAGGACAAGGCCGGGGTTCGAAGTGCGTGGCCCCAGGAAGCTCAAGCTGAAGAAGACAGAGGTAAGAACGAGGCCGGGAGGGCTTATCCTCAACCAATATAAGTTTCCGAGGCAAGGACAAGGCCGGGAGGGCCCATCCTCAACCAACATGGGGTTCCGAGGTGTGGAAGTTCAAGCTGAAGAAGACACAGGTAGGGACAAGGCCGGGGGGGGGCTCATCCTCAACCAGTATGGGTTTCCGAGGCGTGGAAGCTCAAGCTGAAGAAGGGCAAGGACAAGGCCGGGAGGGTGTATCATCAACCAATATGGGTTTCCAAGACGTGGGGTCTCAAGCTGCAGAAGCGCAACGACAAGGCCGGGAGGGTTTATCCTCAACTAGTACGGGTTTCCGAGGCGTGGAAGCTCACAAGTCGAAGAAGACAGAGGCAAGGATAAGGCCGGGAGGGTTTATACTCAACCGATGTGGGTTTCCGGGGTATGGAAGCTCCAGCCGAAGAAGACAGAGGCAGAGACAAGGCGGGAAGGCTTATCCTCAACCGGTATGGGGTTCCGAGGTGTGGAAGCTCAAGCCGAAGAAGACAGAGGCAAGGACAATCCAAGGTATGGAAGCTTGAGCCTCAACCAATGTGGTTGCCGAGGTGTGTGGTCTCAGCGACAAGGCCGAGAGAACAATCCTCAACTAAAATGGGGTGTGGGGTCTTCCCCCCGCCCCCCCTCCCCCTGAGCGCCCTCCCCCCTCCTCCTGGGGCGGGAGGGCAGTGGGCAGACACCAAAAAACAATCCTCAACTGAAACGGGGTGTTCACCCCTCCCCGGCCCCCTCCCCCAGTGTGGGTTCCCCTTCCCCGCACCCCTCCCCACCCTCCCCCCCCTCCCCCCCACCCGGTGCCCCCTCCGGAGGGTCCCCCCGCACCCTCCCCCCCTTCCCTCCCTCCCCTTCCCTCCCCCGAACCCCGCACTGCAACCCCACCCTCCTCCCCTCCCAACCCGCTCACTTAGACCGCAACCAGCGTGGAGTGCCAGGTGCGTATCCTCAAGAAGAAGAAGGCCGGGAGCGGGAACGAAGCCGTGCAGGCTCGCCTGCATGGTGTCCCAGGTACGTGGTCCCAACCCCAAGAGACCGAAGTGAGGAGGTGAGCGCTGATTATCCTCAACCAATGTGGGGTTCCAGGTGCGTGGTCTCAGTCGAAGAAGGCGGAGGCAGGGACGAGGCCGGAGCACTCATCCTCAACCAATATGGGGTCCCAGGTGCGTGGTCTCAGCCCGAAGAAGGCGACGAGGCCGGAGCGCTTATCCTCAACCAATATGTTCCAGGCGCGTGCTCGGAGGCGGGAGCGCTTATCCTCAACCAATATGGGGTCCCAGGTGCGTGCTCTCGCGGACCAGGCCGGCGCAATATGGGGTTCCAGGCGCGTGGTCTCAGCCCGAAGAAGGCGGAGGCGGGGACGAGGCCGGAGCTGGGGTCCCAGGTGCGTGCTCGGCAGGGACGAGGCCGGAGCGCTTATCCTCAACCAATATGGGGTCCCAGGTGCGAAAGCGGAGGCGGGGACGAGGCCGGAGCGCTTATCCTCGACCAACGTGGAGTCCCAGGTACGCGATCTCGGCCCGAAGAAGGTGAAGGTGGGGACGAGGGCGGAGCACTTATCCTCAACCGATATGGGGTCCTAGGTGCGCGCCCTACCGCAGCGTGCATCAGTGCCAGGTGCTTGAAGCCAGAAGAAGGCGAGCTTCAAGAGGAGGCGACAACAGGCTCGAAGGACTTACTCTCAGAATACGTTCTCGGCGCGTGGTCTCAACCTGAAGAAGACGGAGGCGGCGACAAGGCCGGATCGCCTATCCTCAACTGTCATGGGTTCCCAGGTTCGTGGTCTGGAGAGAACAGAAGCCGAGACCAGGCCGGAGTGCCTATCCTCAAGCAATATGGGGTCCCAGGTGCGCGGTCTCAACTTGAAGAGGATGGAGGCGGGAACCAGGCCGGAGCACTTGTCCTCAACCAATATCGGGTCCGAGGTGCGTGGTCTCAACTCGAACAGGACGGAGGCGAGGAGAGGCCGGAGTACCTATGCAAGGACAAGGCTGGGAGGGCCCATCCTCAACCAACATGGGGTTCCGAGGTGCGGAAGTTCAATTGAACAAGCTTCTTGATAAACCAGTTTCTTTACAAACTTGTAACCACCGGTACGGCCCGCCAACTTTGAGCTGGAGCTCAAAAACGGAACAAGCTTCTTGATAAACCAATTTCTCTACAACCTTCAGGCCACGCAACCCAGCCCACCAGTCCAGGTTCATGGACCCCGCCCCCATCCCTCCCAGCCCCCACCCCCGCCTCCCGGCCCCCTCCCACCCCCCACCCTCCTACCCGCCACCCCCCACACCTTCTTGGGGCGGGTAGAGGGGGGGAGGCACAACCCCTATTCTTAACCTAAATGGGGTTGGACTGGCCGCCCCCCTCCCGGCCCCTCCCCCACCCCTCACCCTCCTACACGCCACCCCTGCACCCCCCACCCCCCCCACCCCCACTCCTCCACTCAACATGTGCGTTCAACCTGTCAGGCGCTTATCCTCAAGCTGATGAAGCGGGCAAGCCTGCCCGACCCGCTTGGTTATCCTTAACCTGTATGAGGCCGCCAGGCAGCTATCCTCAAGCTGAATGAGGCGGGCAGGCCTGCGCAACCCACGCTTGTCCTCAAGCTGGCCACGCTTATCCGGTGCCAGGCGAAGAGGTGCAACCGCCACGCTTATCCTCAACCAGAATGGGGGCCAGGAAGAAGAGGCGCAGCCGCCACGCTTGTCCTCAACCAGAATAGGGGCCAGGGGGTGCAGTCGCCACGCTTATCCCGGTGCCAGGCGAAGAGGTGCAGCCGCCGCGCTTATCCTCAACCAGAATGGGGGCCAGGGGGAAGAGGCGCAGCCGCCACGCTTATCCTCAACCAGAATAGGGGCCAGGGGGTACAGCCGCCACGCTTATCCGGTGCCAGGCGAAGAGGTGCAGCCGCCACGCTTATCCTCGATCAACCAGAATGGGGGCCAGGGGGAGGCGCAGCCGCCACGCTTATCCTCAACCAGAATAGGGGCCAGGGGGTACAGCCGCCACGCTTATCCGGTGCCAGGCGAAGAGGTGCAGCCGCCACGCTTATCCTCAACCAGAAGGGGGGCTAGGGGGAAGAGGCGCAGCCGCCACGCTTATCCTCAACTAGAATAGGGGCCAGGGCGTGCAGCCGCCACGCTTATCCGGTGCCAGGCGAAGAAGTGCAGCCGCCACGCTTATCCTCAACCAGAATGGGGGCCAGGGGGGAAGAGGCGCAGCCGCCACGCTTATCCTCAACCAGAATAGGGGCCAGGGGGCACAGCCGCCACGCTTATTCGGTGCCAGGAGAAGAAGTGCAGCCGCCACGCTTATCCTCAACCAGAATGGGGGCCAGGGGAACGAGGCGCAGCCGCCACGCTTATCCTCAACCAGAATAGGGGCCAGGGGGTACAGCCGCCACGCTTATCCGGTGCCAGGCGAAGAGGTGCAGCCGCCACGCTTATCCTCAACCAGAATGGGGGCCAGGGGGAAGAGGCGCAGCCGCCACGCTTATCCTCAACCAGAATAGGGGCCAGGGGGTACAGCCGCCACGCTTATCCGGTGCCAGGCGAAGAGGTGCAGCCGCCACGCTTATCCTCAACCAGAATGGGGGCCAGGGGGAAGAGGCGCAGCCGCCACGCTTATCCTCAACCAGAATAGGGGCCAGGGGGTACAGCCGCCACGCTTATCCGGTGCCAGGCGAAGAGGTGCAGCCGCCACGCTTATCCTCAACCAGAATGGGGGCCAGGGGGAAGAGGCGCAGCCGCCACGCTTATCCTCAACCAGAATAGGGGCCAGGGGGTACAGCCGCCACGCTTATCCGGTGCCAGGCGAAGAGGTGCAGCCGCCACGCTTATCCTCAACCAGAATGGGGGCCAGGGGGAAGAGGCGCAGCCGCCACGCTTATCCTCAACCAGAATAGGGGCCAGGGGGTACAGCCGCCACGCTTATCCGGTGCCAGGCGAAGAGGTGCAGCCGCCACGCTTATCCTCAACCAGAATGGGGGCCAGGGGGAAGAGGCGCAGCCGCCACGCTTATCCGCAACCAGAATAGGGGGTACAGCCGCCACGCTTATCCGTTGCCAGGCGGAAAGGTGCAGCCGCCAGGCTTATCCTCAACCAGAATGGGGGCCAGGGGGACGAGGCGCAGCCGCCACGCTTATCCTCAACCAGAAGAGGGGCCAGGGGGTACAGCCGCCACGCTTATCCGGTGCCAGGCGAAGAGGTGCAGCCGCCACGCTTATCCTCAACCAGAATGGGGGCCAGGGGGAAGAGGCGCAGCCGCCACGCTTATCCTCAACCAGAATAGGGGCCAGGGGGTACAGCCGCCACGCTTATCCGGTGCCAGGCGAAGAGGTGCAGCCGCCACGCTTATCCTCAACCAGAATGGGGGCCAAGGGGAAGAGGCGCAGCCGCCACGCTTATCCTCAACCATAATAGGTTCCAGGGGGTACAGCCGCCACGCTTATCCGGTGCCAGGCGAAGAGGTGCAGCCGCCACGCTTATCCTCAACCAGCCACGCTTATCCTCAACCAGAATAGGGGCCAGGGGGTGCAGTCGCCACGCTTATCCGGTGCCAGGCGAAGAGGTGCAGCCGCCACGCTTATCCTCACCCAGAATGGGGGCCAGGGGGACGAGGCGCAGCCGCCACGCTTATCCTCAACCAGAATAGGGGCCAGGGGGTACAGCCGCCACGCTTATCCGGTGCCAGGCGAAGAGGTGCAGCCGCCACGCTTATCCTCAACCAGAATGGGGGCCAGGGGGAAGAGGCGCAGCCGCCACGCTTATCCTCAACCAGAATAGGGGCCAGGGGGTACAGCCGCCACGCTTATCCGGTGCCAGGCGAAGAGGTGCAGCCGCCACGCTTATCCTCAACCAGAATGGGGGCCAGGGGGAAGAGGCGCAGCCGCCACGCTTATCCTCAACCAGAATAGGGGCCAGGGGGTACAGCCGCCACGCTTATCGGGTGCCAGGCGAAGAGGTGCAGCCGCCACGCTTATCCTCCACCAGAATGGGGGCCAGGGGGAAGAGGCGCAGCTGCCACGCTCATCCTCAACCAGAATAGGGGCCAGGGGGTACAGCCGCCACGCTTATCCGGTGCCAGGCGAAGAGGTGCAGCCGCCACGACGAGGCCGGGAGGGCTTATCCTCAACCAATATGGGTTTCCGAGGTGTGGAAGCTCGAGCTGAAGAAGACGGAGGCAAGGACGAGGCCGGGAGGGCTTATCCTCAACCAATATGGGTTTCCGAGGTGTGGAGCTCGAGCTGAAGAAGACGGAGGCAAGGGCGAGCCCGGGAGGGCTTATCCTCAACCAATATGGGTTTCCGAGGTGTGGAAGCTCAAGCTGAAGAAGACGGAGGCAAGGACGAGGCCGGGAAAGCTTATCCTCAGCCAATATAGGTTTCGAGGGGCTTATCCTCAACCAATATGGGTTTCCGAGGTGTGGAAGCTCAAGCCGAAGAAGACAGAGGCAAGGACGAGGCCGGGAGGGCTTATCCTCAACCAATATGGGATTCCGAGGTGTGGAAGCTCAAGCTGAAGAAGACGGAGGCAAGGACGAGGCCGGGAGGGCTTATCCTCAACCAATTTGGGTTTCCGAGGTGTGGAAGCTCAAGCTGAAGAAGACAGCGTGCATCTTTGTTGCCAGGTGCTCGAAGCCAGAAAGCGCGGCAGTAGAAGGGGGTGAAGGCGAGGACGACCGAAATGCCCAAGTGACTCGCTTATCCTCAACCAATCTGGGGTCCCAGGTGCGCATCCTCAACCCGAAGAGAGACGGAGACGGGGACGAGGCCGGAGAGCTTGCGTGCAGAAGCGGTTCGACGCATGCTGTAATTAGAGGAAGCCAGACCTGGCCCATACTTCGGCGCAGTGTCCTTTGCCGTCTGGCTTACTTTGCGAAAGCAATTTTACTGAGCAATATGCAACAGTAGACCCGTCCAGAACCCTTGGCTTGCCATGCCTCGCTACTGCCGTGGCTTCGAGGATCCATCTGGAATCGGAAGTAGACCATGCATCTTCTCGCAAGATGGTAGAGGTGGACCTGCTCAGTCCAGCAGAAAGAGCTGCGCATTGTGCAGTCTAGAAAACCTACAACTCGCTCTGGATTCCCGCATAGCAAAAGGCAATTTGGTCAGACAGCTCAAGCAGTGGCGCCGAAACGGATCGCCGACATACGAAGCGGCGTTTGGAATGGGGTCGCTGTGTGTGCTATCTACCAGCGAACAGTATGGCTTGCGCGCAAAGGCTGGACAGCCTCCGAAGTTCAAGCCATCATGGAGCTGGCTGCACAAGAAGTCACCCCGCCTGAAGCATTTCTTGCTGGGTCGGCCAATCCTGCGGGCGAACCCATCCATGAGCAGTAGCAGCCGCCAATATGTAAAAGCTGCATCAAGCCCACGCAGTGGTATCGGAAGCTGGCGTCTTCTCTCTGCTTATGTGGGATGCCGCAAAGCTGCACAGCGCATTGCTGCTGCGACAAAGAAGGATGCACGAGGTTCATTTTGGCAAGGGAAGAAGGCAATGCTGAGGGTCTACCGCCGAAGATGGTGGCTAGCTCGGAGGAGACTGAAGCGAAGGTATTCTGCGCTGATGGTGAGGACGGAGAAGCCTTTTCTGAGCTACAAAGCCGCGAAGTGGGCAATTGAGGAGAACATTCTACAAGCTGGCTTTCGAGTTCAGATTTCACGGCAGAACCACCCGCAGTGGAAATTCTTGACTGAAACCGGCAGCCTCCTATTCTTCCAAAGCTTGAATGAAAGCTTGGGTCTCGCACAGAAACAATTGGCGACTGCGACGTGCTCCGTCAACAATGCACTGGGCAGACAAGCATGTGACATCACTCTGCAGGGAGCCCAAGACCTGTTGAAGGCACGTGGTTATGAGCATGATTGGTGCACATTTTTGAGACAGGGCGGCAGGATACTGTCTCCTTTGGTCGTGGACTGCGCCCTGGAAAAGAGCGGCTTCAAGTTGCAGCATTGTCAAAACCTGGAGGTCTGGCCAGCTGGAGCACAGAGTATTCTACAGATTCGCGGCGACCGGAACTCTTGCCATGAGCGCTGGGTCGCTCTCATATCTTGTCATAGCCGAATCTATTTGTTGGATTGCTTCCAAGACGAGCCTGAGCCCACCGTCAATTGTCAGCTAGGCGTGCAACCTTGCGACACATACGCAGTAATCCGGCTTTGATTCTAAACGTTTCACCAACACGGACCTGGCTCATCTTGCAGACAACAGCCGGTTCATTCCACTTCTAGTTCAATGCACTTGACTCGGCACGACTCACGCAAAAGGTCTTGCTTTGTTGATGCGACTGTAACGAAGGCTCGGCATTCGATTGACAACTGGTGCCCTCGCGCAGGAAACGATTCCCATCAGGAGAGCGAGCACATGCATTGGCAGGCGACTCAGACTGAACGCTTAAACTTGTCAGGGGTTTCTGCGTCGACCACTTCGACCGAGCACTTTCTAGACGTTGGCCAACCTTACGCTGGAGGTCAATCAACAGAGCAAGCAATTTCGATAAACCAACCCAGGCGACCGTACCGACCCAGTGAAGTTAAGGAGGCCAGCCCGAGAGCCCAGCCCAAACAGCCCAAAGCCCAGCCCAGCCGCCCAGCCCAGCCCAGCCCAGAGCCCAGCCCAGAGCCCAGCCCAGCAGCCCCCAGCCCCAGCCCAGCCCAGCCCACAGCCCAGCCCAGCCCAGCCCAGCGCAGCCCAGCCAGCCAGCCCAGCCCAGCCCAGCCCACCCCAGCCCCCCCCCAGCCATCGGCCAACCTTTGGTTCGTAAACGAGGGTGGAACTTGCGAAACGAGTTCAAGCGCACCAGCGGCCCCACCTTTTGGCAGGATGGTCGATCTTGTCTTGGGCGGTCGGCCAACCCTAGACGACTTGCCACGGACCCAAAAACATGGAAGCAGTCGAGAAAACTCCTGGGGCACCGGCCAACCTTCCGTTCTTGTGCAAGAGGTGGAAGGTTGGCCGGTGCCCCAAAAAGTTATTGGGACCCAAACCCTTAACAATTTCTATAAACCCTAAACCCTAAATTTTAGAGGCTGCGCCTTGTATGAACTGCCTTTAGCGGCGCAGCCGAGGTGCGCCAGCGCAGCAGTTGGTTATGGGCTTTTGCAAACGAGCTTATTTAAATTCTTTCGGGCTTTGTATGTCAATTTACTTAAACCTTACTTGGGACTATACTTGCGAATTCATTTAGACCCTGCTTGCGGTTATATATGTCCAATCAATTACACCCTGCCTGAGGCTATATATGTCAATCTATATAAGCTTCGCTCGGAGCCATGTATGTCTGCGCCTATATATGCCAGTCTATTTCAATCCGGTTTGAGGCTGTGCATATCTTAAACCCCGTCTGGGCCTGTGTGTAATAATTTGCTATAACGGTGTTTGCGCCTATGTATGTGACTTTACTTGAACCCGTCTGGCCCTATGCCTGTCAATTTACTCAAACTCCGTTTGGGGCGAAAAAAATCGATTTAGTTAAACCCCGCTTGGGGCTGTGTATGTCAATTTACTCAAACCCCTGGCTTCACATGTCAATTTACTTAAACACCGTCTCTTGCTTCGCCGCTTCATATGTCAGTCTACTTAAAGCCCGTTATGGCTACCTATAATAATGTACTTAGACCCCGTCTTTGACTTCATGTGTAAATATACTTGAACCCCGTCTCTGGCTCCTTATATCAATTTACTAATTCCCGTCTTGTACTACATATGTCAATTCACGTAACCACCATCTTTACCTCCGGAGAGGTTTGAATACATTGAAGTGAAAAGCACCCGGAAAGATTTAAGTAAAGTCAAGGTTGAAGAGCCCGCGGGAAGGTTTCAAGTGAAAGGAAATACAAGCCCCGCAGAGGTTTAAGTTAATTGAATTGAAGAGCTTTCCGATATTTCAACTGTCTTAAACCTCTGCGTGCAATGACTGCCCGGTTTCGTGCGGCTGGCTCCAGACACATTCGCCCCGTGTCTTCAATGGCAACATATTATAGGTATAGGAGAAGGTTTGCATTTTATTCTAGGTTTCATGTACGTACATATATCGATAAATCTATAGATGCACAATATGTGAAAAGATTTCGATTTAGCTACAATGAACAAGCTGGAAAAAGCAGAGATATACTGATACAGACACGAATCTAAATCATACATGTGTATAGCTGTATATATGTATTGAAACGAAAAATATATTCAGATATGTTCATATATATATATATATATATATATTCATTTATGACATATATACAAATATGTAATAGAAAATATATTTAAATATAGAGATCCATGCAGCGTAGATCTAGGTATAAAACACAGAAATGTGTGTATATGTAGTATGTACGTATATATAGAAGGGATATTTGATATATATATATATATAAACAAAGACTTAAATATAAATCAAGATAAAGATACAGATGAAGATATATACATATATACAGATTCAGATATAGATATGGACATGGATATAAACATACCATACATGCATAAACTGTTAGAAATATCTGCAAATACATTCGAAAAGCATACAAAGTACATAGCTATCTGTGTATATCTACTGAACCAGATTCACATGTGTGATATAGAAATCATTCTTATCAACATGTATTTGTCGGTATGCACATATATACATATATGTAGCAATATAGATGTAGCTATGGATATGGGGATAGATATAGGTATAAATATAGGTTTAAATAAATGTATAGATATATGTATAGATATAGGTTCAAATGGAGGTATAGATATAGGTACAGATAAGATATAGGTATAGGAGTAGATATAGATATTGACATTAGTATTGACACACACAGAGATATAGATGCAGATACTAATATAGATATCGATGCAAATAGAATATAGATATAGTTAAGATATAGATGCGGATAAAGATATAAGTATAGACAAAGGTATAGATATAGGTAAGACAGGCACAGATATAGATATAGACTTAGACATAGACCTGCATGCAGATATAGATCTAAGTGAAGATGAAGACATACAGGCATGAACTAGTTCAAATCGATAAAACCATGAAGATATAGATATGGGAGCAGATATTGAAACAGACATAGATGTAGATATAGTCATGCAATTGTGTGAAGTTAACTACGAAGTTCACTGCATTTGAGGAACTGCATGCACGCATAAGCAGAGAGAACGAGGTACCGATGCTCAGACATGCGAATGTAGGTACAAACAGATGATAATGTCTGGGATTACTTCAATTTACTAATACCCGGTTCCTCTTATGATCTCGAGAAGAACTGGTGCGGATTTAAGCTTGCTTTAGCTTTCGATCCGCACTGTCCCAAAACTACATCTTCAATATGACCCGTCATTTGCAAAGTACAGGAGAGGTGAAGAAAATACATCGTATTTACATATATATATATATATATATATAGAGACATGTAAAAGGAACGATAGGCAAATACCTAGGGCTTTATGCAGACATGCGGGCTTAATTACATACATACATATATATATATGTATACTCATATATATATATACACATATATACATATATGCATATTCGTAGATACGAATGTATATAGGCATATATATAGATATATATGCATATATATATATACATGAAATTTTTCATATGAATCTATAGCCAGAGAGAACATACACAGATACAAAAGATAAAGACATGGAGATACGTACATAGATATACAGATATGCAGATATTCACATATATACATATGTAGGCAGCTTTTTGTATACAGAGACAAATAGAAACATATTCATGGGTCTAGATACATCCACAAATCTCAACATTGGTACAAGTACATATACATACAGTTACCTGTACTCTAAATATAAACTACGATATACATGCAGCCATAAAAATATACTAATCTAGATAATTTATCCATGATTTTGGCTTATATTCATATATATATGTATAGATAGAGCTATGAACATATATATATATAGACAGAAGTAGAGATACAAATATCAATGATATCAATATATGCTACAAAAAATTTTAAACATCATCGCATAGGGTGCATGTTTGAAAGCTATTACATGTGTACTTAAACTTTCAAACCTGTGTAGTCTTGCACCATTCCGCCTCGGCCGGTGGCTTCCGCCCCCGGCCTCGGCGGAAACTAAATTCTCTGTCGTAGCACTCTTATCATTTTATTGAACAGATCATTGGAATGATATCAATTGCTCTATGTTTGGAATATACTCAAACTTTTAAACCTATGTAGTCTTGCAAGTAGCCCCGTGTGGACGACAGCTGCTTTAAAATCCAACCTCGTGGACCGCGCCGGCCACAAAGACCCTACCCATGCGGAATCCATCAAGACGGCACCTGTGACCGAGATCTCCATCGCCTTCGGGGTCCGCTTGCTAGAAGCAGCTGCCGCAAACGAAGCGCTGCCACCGGAGCGCGAAAGGGTCCAAAGCGACGGCAGGTGGCACAGCTCGAAGAGGACCATCAGCGGGCCGCAACTCTGGACAGTCTACGGACAGCGCGGTCGCGATCCAGGCGTCCGACACTTGTCCGCCTACGAGTTCGCCCGGCACTACCACTGCCGGATGGCCAAGCACCCCTGGAGCCTGCAACGCCAAGAAGCCGCGGAACCCGCGGAATATCACGCCCTGCTCACCGACAAAGGCAAAGCCAAATTAGCAGCACAGGTTTCGAGGCAATATTTACAGCCCGGCGATGATTACCGCATCAAGGAGGAAGGTGGTTCGGACTGGATGCCGCTCGGCAACGGTCAGCTGGTCCAGAAGTTCCGGCACGACTGGATCATTGTTCCCCGCAAGAGGCCCAACGTGCCGGTCCTTTTCGGTGCCCTCGGAAGCCGAAGCGAAGAGGAGCAGGCCATGAAGATCCTGGTGCTCTTCCGGCCCTGGACCAGCAATCCTGAAGAAGCCACGGACCAAGTGCCCTACATCGGCGACCTTCGCCCCCCAGGCGACACCGGCAGCTGGCGACGTGCCCTGCAACTCTGGCTTTCCACATGGGGCTTCCCCACGGAAGAGGTCAAGCGCTACGTGCTGAACTACGCCTTCGTCTTCTGTCTCCCGCGACAGTATCAGCTGGACGACGACCTGGCGGCCAACAGCGACAACGAGGGCCTCGAGGACGTCCTGTACAAGTTGGAGAAAGAGGACCTCGAGATCGCCGCCAAGACGCGCATCCGGGGAGA